CACTGCGCCGTAGTAACATGGATTAACCACTATGTGTCGCTCATGTCGCTGATGTAAACGAACATGTGAATCACAGCGCCGACTGGCGGCCCTTCGTGCTATATGCATTAAATAACAACACAACAATACAACAATTTAAAATAAACTTGCAATGCTTACAATAGAGTACTCTTATACAACGCTATTGCTAATTATATTAAAATATATTTCCCCAACATTTCCTTTTGTACTTCATATGATTAAGTACTGCTGGTTAAATCTAATGATATGCTAAGAACAGTCATGTGAATAAAGTTCAAATAAAAGCATCCGACCAGAGCAGATACAGTGTATATTACATACTGAAAGAGCTTCCATCCCTTGCTGTCTTGTCAGACAGAATAGATGTCCTCATTTTGTCCAATCACCAAGTCGGGACTTGCTTTAGGGGGTTGCAAGCAGAGGTGAAAGAAGGAGGCCTACTTATAGATTTTACTTCAGTAAAAATAGCAAAGCAGCCACCAACAGTCATTTTCTTATTGTTATTACAGATGCATGAGCAGATTTCTACCTACTATACTTCAATGTATTGCATCATGATTATTCACCAGAAGTATCTGAGAAATGGTGAATTTTAGATGATTATTAAAAGAATAAATGCTTTAATAAATGCTTTGAACACACAGTTCTGCTGTTTACTGAAATATGTACAAATACACATAGAAATACACTATATAAAGGAAACACAGTTTGTACTGTTCTAACAAGTTTGAAATTCAATATTTGGTATGACCACATTTATCCTTTTCTTCTAATTTCTTTAAATACTCTTCTGGAATATTTCTCTAGGTTCCTTGCAGGACATTTAAAGCTCTTCTTTGGATGTTGACTGTTTTCTTTTTCCAGTCTCTGTCAAGATGATCCCACATTTGTTCAATAATGTCAAGGTGCGGGTTACAAAGCTGCCTCCTAACTCAGAGCAAGCAGACGGTTCAGTCACACGAGTAGGACATGAGCCTCCTTCCATCTATAAAAAACACTTCGGTGGCTGCCTGATGATTGCATTTCATTTAACAACTGCAGTCTGACTTGGACTGTGAGCAATTACTCTCAGACAAATTTTTGAAGTTTTTAAAATAATTGCTGTCTCATTTCTGAATGCAGACAGATTACCAACATGTCACCATCAGTCTGAATGGCCCTTTGTCAAGCTGGCTGCCAGCTGGTTGTATTCTGGTTGTATTCCTTTAGAACAGAAAGACTGCTGAGCGAAAATTTAATAAATTAGTTAAATATTAATTAGACAGCAAAAGAAATGTGAGCTTTGATGATTTATCACAATATCAACATTTCACGCAATTGCCAACTTGACCTCATTCAACTTGTTCGCCGAC